TAACTGGGTTTGTTCAGTTTGGGGATCATTATATGGATGATAAGCTGACATATTATTGGCTGGTTTTAAGTTGGGGCCATCATTTCTTTTTGTTTCATGTATGGTTTCCACAGAGTGTGAGGTAAAGCCCAACGGTGTATATACTGCTTTCGGGACTGTCTAAGGGTTCTGCACCCTTTTAGCTCAAGTTATTTACACTAAGTTACGCCTCTTGAGTTAGCCTAGCTTGAGTGAAAGCAGCTATACTACAAAACAATGCTCGAGCCACACAGAATGATTGATTTAGCATCAGTGACACAGTTACTTTCTACTACATCACTACCTCAAGCATCAGCAGCACTTGGGCTTCAACCCATACCCCCCGGGTGGCCAGCTAGCTTGAGTTTGAAGCACCACCTAACTCGAGCTAGAGACTTTTGTGCGTGGACAAGAGTTGGGTTAGGGGCAACATTTGAGTTATATCTTGGACTAACACAGCAGTGAAACAACTCCCAATTCCAGCTGTGATCTGTTCCATCTCTCATATTTCTTTTAGTTTCTTTAGCCACATCTCATTTGTAGCGCTTTCCTTCATGAGCCAGAATATTTTCTTGCATTTAAGCATTTTCTTGTAGTTGTCAATATTTTGAACGAGTATAGTCTGTTATGAACTGTTCTGAAAGTTCATGAAAAGGCCCACCAGGACATAAAAACAGGTCTAGTTTTTATCACGGTTTATGTCAAAGGTTTTCTGTAAATGTTCGTGAATGGGTGACCAGGCCCAGAAATTTGTGTGGGGACTGAGTTGCCCCTGTCCTGTCCAGCAGAGGTTGGAGCTATTCAAATTCATTTTGCTGGTCAGCACTGGGAGCTAAAAGTGGCCTGTCACTAGTTGCTATTACAATTTTCTCCAGGAGGGTGAGAAGAGTGGTGCTTTGGGCATTTTGAAAATGTCTGATCACCTGCCATTTTATCATTATCCTGAAATTCTGATTTCTGTGCTACTTGTGTATGCTGTGACTTACCTGTTGAGAGCCGCATAGAGAGTAACAATACGTCTTTTTAAGCTTTAGGTTTAAACTTAGATTTCCTTCAGCCTTTTTGTTGCCTTTTCAGATCTTATCGGTTTTCAGGAATAGCTTGGATTTTCCCCTGTTGGAATCCATTCCTGCTACATACTGATACCTGGGGCCATTAATTCCATGGATCTAGCAAGTTTCCATGATAATGATAGTGTAATTGTAAATAACAGAAGCTATGAGTTTATTGAAATGAAAGGCCTGACACAGGGTTGGAAGGAAGGGGCTTAATTTGAGCAGTTGCACCCAAGCTAGTATCGTTAACATGTATTTGGATGGGATAATGCAGATATCATTCCACTAAAGACAAGGGTGTTACAATGGTGTAAAAATGGTGTAAATAAGAGAATAAGGCTCAACATTTT